ATAATAATTTGTGTTTGCTAAAACAAAAACAAAAAAAATGTTTTTTTACTCGTGTTGTTTTATTACTCGACATTTGTTTTATTTCGTACAAATTTTTTTATTTACAGGTGAGTTTTTTATTTTTTAATTTAACGTAAGTAAAATTTATTTATTAATAATAATAATAATTTTTTTTATTAATAAGTAAAAACATTTATTTACAATCGAACATAATTAATGTAAGTCGCCATATTTAATTTGTTTGTTTTTTTTTTTTTTTTTAAAATGATTTATTTATTATAAACGTTGGAAAATTTACCTTTTAAACTATCGATGATAAACAATTTTTTTTTTTTTAAAATTAAAATTAAAACTTTGTTCTTTAAATAAATTTATTCAAGGATAGTTAATTACAATAATAAATAATAATAATAATAATAATAATAATGATAAGGTGATAATAACAAAAATAAGAGTGAAAAAGAGAAACAGAGAGAGAGAGAGAGAGAGAGAGAAAGAAAAAAAGTATACAAAAAAGGGAAACAGGATTATTTATTATTATTTTTTTTTTTTAAATGTTTATTATTATTATTATTATTATTATTATTATGTTAATTTATATTTATTTAATTTTTTTTTTTTTTGTTTCTTTCATTCAACCGAATTTGATTGATTAATTGATTATAATAAATTATTATTATTAAAAATAATTAATTTGCGGTTAAAATTATTCAAAAATTTATTTTTTTTATTTATATAAATTATTATTATTATTATTTTTTTATTTAAAAACGATGATGGCAGCAGAAGGAAAAAGAATGAAAGAAATAATTTTATTTTATTTTGTATTAAAAATAATTTTTTTTTGTGTGTGTATGTTAACCGTGTGCCAAAATTTCAAATCGTTAATGAATTTTATTTGTTTTTTTTTTAAACGTTCCAACAAATTTTTTTTTTAAATTTAAATTTAAATTTAAATTTAATTTCGCGCTGAATTTTAATGCGAAAAAAAAAAAATTTGTAATTCGTATGCACACGCAAACTCTTTTATTATATTTTAATAATAATAATAATAATATTATAAAGGATTACAAACATAATCCAAATGTAATCCTTGAATTGAACGATGAACATAAAAAGGAATCAAACATTATAAACATACAAACACAAACACATGCCCCTAACATTAAACTTAATTATATCATTAATTCGTTAAAAATTTGCTAGCATTATTATTATTATTATTTGACTTTGGTTTATTTTTCCTTTGCTATTTTATTACTACAATGTTGTTATTTATTCCATTCTACTTTTTTTTGACGTCACACACACATATATATGTATGTATGTTATTAATGTTATGAAAAAAAAATGATACAAACAAACGAAATTTATTTTTCCTATTATTATTATTATTATTATTATTATTATTATTATTATTATTATTATTATTATTATTATTATTATCGATTTAAACAACAGTAAGAGAGTATAAATAAATGTCAATAACACAATCCTTACAATTTTTTTTTATCATATTTTTAATTTTTTAAACGAGTACATTTCGGTTGTTTGTAATTTTTACGTTTGTTTATTTATTTATTGATTATTATTATTATTATTATTATTATTATTGCATAATTAATAAAAATGTGAAAGTTGTGAGCGAGGCTGTTATTACGACAAAAAAAAGCCAAAAAAAAAACGTAAAATTATACTAATCAATGATAAATATTTTTAATTAACATCTTTATCATCATACATCATCATTATTATTATTATTATTTTTTTTTTTTACGCGAAAATTGTGTAATTAAAAACAATGAGAAAGTTTCATTTGTAAAAAAAAAATTTTTTTTGACATTTAAAAGTGTCAAAAATTATTTAAAAAATTGTATTGTTGAATTATTGTTAAATTTGATTATGGTTAAACAACAACAACAACCCGAAAACAATATTTTTGGTTGTTGTTGTCGAAAAAGAAATTCGTTTGTTTAATTGGTGACGGTGGTG